CCTTGGCTTGAGCCGTCGGTACCAATCAAAGGCGGGCCCGCGAAGGGTGCCAACGAATGACCGGACCATTAAAGCCTCGTTTCCAGAGATCATGCCCAAATGAGACTTGAAATAAATCAAGTGCTGAATCGGCGAACTCTTCCCCTCAAACGGTGTGAAGTTAATCAGATTGAACTTTGTCGGATACGGTATTGAATCCCATTCTCTTGGATAGGGACATGGAATACCCGTCCTCTTCACTTCTTGAGCCGTCATCAAAGCGTTGACTTTGTTTTCAAGCTCTTTCATTTTCCCGTCACCGTCTATGTCTTCATTCGAATGACGTTGAGGAGAATGAGTTAGACCACCCCATGTAAGAGGTGTCATTGAACCACTCCCAATATCGTTATTGGGAGAATGTGTTAAACCACCCCCAGCGTTATTGCTATTGGGAGGTGTATCAGCCATAATGACTTCATCCACTTCTGGATCACTGTCATCCACAACTTTCTGAGTGTGGCGGCTGGATTCAGTTCTTTGACTGGACTCAGGGGGTTGAGGTCGCTTCTCTCATTTGTTGGATAGCCAACTTCATTTCTGTCTTCACTTCAGCTCTAATTTCTTCACGTTGTTTGGCTAGAGCTTCTTGAAGTATTTGAGCAAATTGATCAGAGGTGATCGTGAGTACTTCTCTGGTTTGTCCCGTGCTAGACATTGTATCATCAGAAGCGATTGCAGAATAAGTGTCCGAGAATTCATCCTCCGAGGACATTCCTTCTTGCATTCTCTTGTAGTCTCTGCGTCTGATGGCTCCTAATTGGAGTCGAGACATCCTTTGAGCAATTCTTGGATTGACTCTTCCTCTCGGGGAAAAGTCAGGATTTGAGTCACTTGAATGCCGCTTAGACTTTCTTTTATCAGCCACGTTGATGGTGACTTCAGGGAATTTATCATCTTGGACAGCTGATCTTAGCACAGGAACAATGAGAGCGAATAATTCTTTTTCGAAATTTATTCACACCCCCAATTTGATAATACAATTCATCGGTATGATTGCCAAAAAATCGTATCGTTTGTTGGCATGACCTCCCAGGTATGACGATGTCTTTTGGTGAATGTGTCTTCTTCTGAGGGTGTAAAACCTTGTTGGCATTCTCAAGACAATTTATTGTTGCCTTTGAACGATCCAAGGTTATGTCGGGAGTCACACATTTAGAACCACCCCCTTGTGGGTATGGAGTCTTAACGGGCTCCGAATGCTGATTTTGCATAACTCCAGACTTCGGAATCCAAACTTGGCGGAATTTCGGTGGTTCTTTGGTCACCGTTTCCTTCCTCCTTTCTCGTCTTTGTTGTAGGAGAGTTCGGACATGAGCAGCATTTGCACGATGTTTTTGTATACGTTCTTTGAGGGTCGAACGAGCCCTTTTGACGAGTGTCCATTCCTTCGTCGTGAATTGTGCAGAAACGTGAGTAGTTTGTCGTTGCGTTGAACAAACCACTTGTTGTTTCCTCGACTCTAAGTCCGCATAATAACGAACTCCGTCGGTTTGTTCAAATGCCTTACCTATTTGGCGAGCACGGCGCTGACGCTGTCTCTGACGAGCCCTCTTCGTCAGTACCGGTGGGCTTTGATTCAATGACTCTTTAACTAGATAAGAGTCATTATGAGCAGAGGTGTTGTGAGTAAAATCCTTAGCAACAATCCGGAGAGAGTCTTCATTTTGTGCCTTCTTTGGCATGTAGGTCTTCCTTAATTGTGAGATCCTCTTATATTTACGAGACAATGAAGATCTTGAAGAGGATGATGAGAGATATTCCTCAAATTTGGTTTGGTCGAATTCGTATTCGACCATGGATTCAACTGGAATCTTGATCGGCTGCGACACGACGGTCTCGGCAGCGAGACCGTTGGCTCCCACTGTGGTCACCAGCTTGTTTTCGTCAAAAGTTGATTTTGTCATGGAATTCATTATATCTTCGGTCGATTACAACAAATTCAAAAGAGATAGTCTTTTTATAAGACTTCTTTTACACAACAAAATAAAAATTACAACTCTTGGGAAACAAACGCAGGATCGTTGTTTGGATCACTGCTTGCGTGGGATCTTTGCCTGTGCCGGGAGCGCTTTGACTCGTGGACCACCAAATCACAGATTCTGATTGAACCGTGAGGGGTTTAATGATTCTTCCTTCGTTTATCGAAGTAAGAATTTGAAGCGAATATCTTATCGATGTAAGATGTTCACTCTTCCAAAGATCAAGTCTGAGCTTAGATCTCTAGGACTCGCTAGAAGCTTCTTGAGGATGTTTGTGAAGAAGGAAGACTCTCTCTCTTGCTCTAATTCACCAAAACTCAAGGCTCTCTGCTCTAATCTCTCTGGAAAATGCTCAGCCCCTGTCAATGATGGCCATAGGGGGGTATTTATAGCCTCCTTAGACGATAACTGAAGAAATAGCCGGTCAATAACTGTCTCTTTAGGCACGGCAGTTGATGCTGTCGCGGCTAAAGGGCGCGACAGTCGACACTGTCGCGGCCAAAGAGCGCGACAGTCGACACTGCCGCGGCTAAAGGGGCAGTTACACCCACGTTCATACGTGTTTGAAACAGTTCTCCCACGACCTTTAACCACCTTTTTCGTGGTTTAACTGCCTGTCCACGTCAGCACACATTCTAT